ACTTTGTACACTAAACCCAAACAAGAAACTTCAGCCCCAAAAATAAGGGTTAAAGTAAACTCTAAGTGCGTATACACTGTGAAATACACACCTCTTCAGTGTATATATTTTTTGCCTTTTATATATCTAACAGAACTGTTAATTATGGGAAGTGGGGCCTTGAAGCTGTTGTGAGATTTTTTCTTCTTCCTCCTCCATAGTTTTCGTTATTATCCACTGATAACTCAATACCTCATCGGAATTGGCTTCAAAAATTTTCAACATTGGTGCACAGTAACTAGGGGAAAATTCTTGGAACTCTCGCCATGTGCAGGTGCCCCGTGACCAAAATTTAGAACCTATTCCCATGATTCCTGGTATGGCTCCGATAACTTCCAAAGTCTTCTGCGGTATAACTTCAAACGTTCAGAGAAGTTGCTTCCTAATTCGGCGACTACGATAAATCAATCAGGTGTGTTGAGTATATTTTGCCAATTTTACATGTAAATTAGCGTGAAACTTTTATTCCCTTATGTCATACTGAATCCCAATTTTAGTTTTCCTCTTAAACAATGGCACAATATTTAAGACTAATTCATTTTATGGGCAGGGTAGTACCCCATTAAATTTACTTTATGGGCGAACGAATTTGTCAGTATACTAATTTAGTTGGAAAAATAACTTGGAATCAATGTAATCCGAGTGATAAGTGGAGAATGCCTCTTCTATTGACTTCAACTTTTAGTGGTGATTTTGTTTTTCCAGACCACATCCCTCGTATTCTGTTAGGCTGCTTAAATGCATAATTGCCATTTTATTAAATTCTTAAATTTTTTTCCAATCAATAAATAAAGAATTCTTGGATGGTTTGCAACCATAAACATCAAGGTTTGATGTTTTGTACATTCAGAGATGCTCTTCTACATACCACTGTTGTAATGCATGGTTATTGAGTTACTGTCTCCTTCCTGTCAGCTGGAACCAGTCTGGACATTCTCCTTTGACCTCTCTCATTAACAAGGCATTTTTCACCCACAGAACTGCCACTTATTGGATGTTATGTGTTTTTCACACAATTCTCTGTAAACTCTAGAGACTGTTGTGTGCGAAAATCCCAGGAGATCATCAGTTTCTGAGATACTGAAACCACCCCATCTGGCACCAACAATCATTCCACAGTTAAAGTCACTTAGATCACACTGCTCATTAATGCATACGTCAAGTCGGCCAATTACGCTGGCACCTCGATACTGAAAAGCATGCAGATATGGTCAAGAGGCTCATTTGTTGTTCAGACCAAACATTATGTCCAATGAACTGCAGCTCTGTTGGAAAAACCACTTTTTTCTTAATCCAAGGAGTTGAACCTAATTTCCCTTTTCTTTTTATCAAGCCTGATTACCTCTCATTCCTCCATGCACTGCATAACCCCTATGAGTTTAATGCACTTCCCATGTGTAGTAATAATAATAATAATAATAATACAGTGCTTTTGAAATATGGTTAACAGAATGACGTGTATGACATATTAAGCTTATTTTTGCAAATTTGTGAAGTGACAGTAAATGCACTGATGTCTGAAAAGTAGAGCATTTAAAAGTATTGATTATTTGAAGGTACATACGGTAAATGATAATGGTCTAACAGAGCTGCACTCAATTAAAATATTCCAGTGGAGCAGAAATCCTTATCAAATTCGTGAGTTGTTATTGTTTTGCCAGGTGATGAGAGTCTGATTACAGTACATTATATACAGTGCTATGTTAATTTTGTGTTTGTAAATTAACAGGTTGAGCAGCAAGAACCATAACAGCATTTAAACTACAGTACAGTGGTACCTCCAGTTTCAAACAGTTCCCAACTCGAACAGTTATGCAAGTGTATTTTTGTAAGCACTTTTGTAAGTGTATTTTTGGTGGTCTGAAATGGACTAATCTAATTTACATTATTCCTTATGGGAACAAATTCGTTTGGTATTGGCACTCGAATACCAATTACTGGGAGCACTTGAAGTTCCTGAACCTGCACTCCCTGGAATGCAGGCAGGAGAGAAACATAATTATATACACCTGGAAAATCCTATAGGGACTAATACCGAACTTGCACACGAAAATCACTCACAACGAAAGCAAAAGACTCGGCAGACAATGCAACATCCCCCCAATGAAAAGCAGGGTGTCACTAGCACGTTAAGAGATAATACAATAAGTGTCAGGAGCCCGAGACTGTTCAACTGCCTCCCAGCATACATAAGGGGATTACCAATAGACCACTGGCTGTCTTCAAGCAGGCACTGGACAAGCACCTAAAGTCGGTACCTGACCAGCCGAGCTGTGACTCATACGTTGCATTGCGTGCAGCCAGCAGTAACAGCCTGGTTGATCAGGCTCTGATCCACCTTGAGGCCTGGTCACAAACCGGGCTGCAGGGGCGTTGACCCACGGAACTCTCTCCGGGTAAACTCCAGGAACAGCCTTCTGGAACGAATTAAGTTCGTAACTCGAGGTACCACTGTACTTCATTGCGGCATCAGTAACACATCTTTCATAAAAACAACAATGTAATTACTGCACCAGTAATATTAGTGTGTATCTTTGTATGGTATGGTAGAGTTATTATTGAAAGAATTAAGAGTAAGACGGAGAATAGGATAGCAGATGAACAAGGAGGCTTTAGGAAAGGTAGGGGGGTGGTGTGGACCAGGTGTTTACAGTGAAACATATAAGTGAACAGTATTTAGATAAGGCTAAAGAGGTCTTTGTGGCATTTATGGATTTGGAAAAGGCGTATGACAGGGTGGATAGGGGGGCATTGTGGCAGATGTTGCAGGTGTGTGGTGTAGGAGGTAGGTTACTGAAAGCAGTGAAGAGTTTTTACGAGGATAGTGAGGCTCAAGTTAGAGTATGTAGGAAAGAGGGAAATTATTTCCCAGTAAAAAGTAGGCCTTAGACAAGGATGTGTGATGTCACCGTGGTTGTTTAATATATTTATAGATGGGGTTGTAAGAGAAGTAAATGCGAGGGTCTTGGCAAGAGGCGTGGAGTTAAAAGATAAAGAAATCACACATAAAGTGGGAGTTTGTCAGAGTTGCTCTTTGCTGATGACACTGTGCTCTTGGGGGATTCTGAAGAGAAGTTGCATAGATTGGTGGATGAATTTGGTAGAGTGTGCAAAAGAAGAAAATTAAAGGTGAATACAGGAAAGAGTAAGGTTATGAGGATAACAAAAAGATTAGGTGATGAAAGATTGGATATCAGATTGGAGGGAGAGAGTATGGAGGAGGTGAATGTATTCAGATATTTGGGAGTGGACGTGTCAGCGGATGGGTCTATGAAAGATGAGGTGAATCATAGAATTGATGAGGGGAAAAGGGTGAGTGGTGCACTTAGGAGTCTGTGGAGACAAAGAACTTTGTCCTTGGAGGCAAAGAGGGGAATGTATGAGAGTGTAGTTTTACCAACGCTCTTATATGGGTGTGAAGCATGGGTGATGAATGTTGCAGCGAGGAGAAGGCTGGAGGCAGTGGAGATGTCATGTCTGAGGGCAATGTGTGGTGTGAATATAATGCAGAGAATTCGTAGTTTGGAAGTTAGGAAGAGGTGCGGGATTACCAAAACTGTTGTCCAGAGGGCTGAGGAAGGGTTGTTGAGGTGGTTTGGACATGTAGAGAGAATGGAGCGAAACAGAGTGACTTCAAGAGTGTATCAGTCTGTAGTGAAAGGAAGGCGGGGTAGGGGTCAGCCTAGGAAAGGTTGGAGGGAGGGGGTAAAGGAGGTTTTGTGTGCGAGTTGCTTGGACTTCCAGCAGGCATGCGTGAGCGTGTTTGATAGGAATAAGTAAGTAAGTAAGTTTATTCAGGTATACACAAATACAGTTACATAGAATTATCATACATAGCAGCATGTGTGTAGAGAACCTAGGATAACCCAAAAAAGTCAGACAGAGTGACTTATTTCCATTGGGGTCCTTTTACCTTATTATTATAATATAAAGGTTATAATATTTTCTTATTATTCTACAATGAAGATAACATCTTATTATCATACTAAAAAGACTATCTACTACACCAAGGTCATTAAGACTATCTACAATACAAGGGTCATTACTAGGAATAAGGTAAAAAATTTACACGTATGTTAGCAAAAAAATAGAAAATCATTCCCCTCCCTTTCTGTAGCTACATTCATCAGACACCTTTTGGCACTCTTCTTGAACTGGTTCATGCTATGACTGTCTTTGACATGTGCGGGCAGTCTGTTCCATTCCTTTATTGCTGTACAATAAAAGGTGTTTGAAGCCTGGCCACTGACTGTGGGTACTACAAAGTTGTGCTCTCTCCCCCTAGTACTATGATTGCTTTGGTTCCCAACCTTGACAAAATTGACAGCAAGATATTCTGGACACTGTTTGTGAGCAATTTTATAAACATGATTTAGCTTCAGTTGTTTTACTCTGTCTTCAACATTCAGCATATCCAACTGCTGTAATTCATCCTGGCCTACATGTTCTCTTGGTCCCAGCCCCAGGATGAGTCTTACGATTTTGTTCTGGGTAATTTGCAGTCTATCTTTCAGTTTTTTTTTGTCAAGGCAGAGTACCAAGAAGAGCAAGCGTAATCCATATGGCATTGTATAAGGGCTAGACATAGGGTCCTGCGAGCCTCAGTAGGTAGGACTGAATGGAGACATAGGGTTTTTAATACTTGACGTGCTGTTGGAGTGTGAGCAAAGTAACATTTATGAAGGGGTTCAGGGAAACCGGCAGGCCGGACTTGAGTCCTGGAGATGGGAAGTATAGTGCCTGCACTCTGAAGGAAGGGTGTAAATGTTGCAGTTTAAAAACTGTAGTGTAAAGCACCCTTCTGGCAAGACAGTGATGGAGTGAATGATGGTGAAAGTTTTTCTTTTTCAGGCCACCCTGCCTTGGTGGGAATCGGCCAGTGTGATAATAATAAAAAAAAATCTTTGTACAGTACCAATATCTTAAGAAATATAAAAATTCTTTCTTTCTTCTTCAGTAGCAACATCAGAAGAGCTGAAGTAATCAACTCCTCCAAACAGCATTACAAGTAGTGGCAGTATTAGGAACATCTTGGAATAAGAAAGGCACAGACGAGACGAAGTGACCAGTAACAACTAACTTTTCATTATGACAAATTCCAATGCAGTTGTCAACAGTCATAATGATCTTTTATCTGAATTTTGTGGACACACATTTTGGGTAAGTCATTGTAAAAATGTTGGGTTGATTTTATGATGACTTAGGTTTACAATGCATCAGAGGCTGCATTGTTTAAATGCAGGGTTTGAGTTTGATGCAGAATGAGGCTTTTTCCCTGTGTTATTAACTAGAATGTCTTGATTTACATCATAAGTGCCTGAAATTTATTTCTGCGTGAAAATATGTAAAACTTACACACTTAACTTTAACAGCACTTTCATATTTGTCATGTCAGCTGTTTAAGTTTGATGAGATACTAAGTAATTACACATACCTGTTCAACTGTTCAACTGCCTCCCAGCATACATAAGGGAGATTACCAAAAGACCCCTGGCTGTCTTCAAGCAGGCACTGGACAAGCACCTAAAGACGGTACCTGGCCAGCTGGGCTGTGGCTTGTATGTTGGATTGTGTGCAGCCAGCAGTAACAGCCTGGTTGATCAGGCCCTGATCCACCATGAGGCCTGGTCACAGACTGGGCTGCGGGGGCATTAACCCTTGGAACTCTCTCCAGGTAAACTCCAGGTATACCTATTTTTAAGATGAGATAAGATTTCGTTCGGATTTTTAACCCCGGAGGGTTAGCCACCCAGGAGGATAACCCAAGAAAATCAGTGCATCATCGAGGACTGTCTAACTTATTTCCATTGGGGTCCTCAATCTTGTCCCCCAGGATGCGACCCACACCAGTTGGCTAACACCCAGGTACCTATTTGTTGCTAGGTGAACAGGACAACAGGTGTAAGGAAACGTGTCGAAATGTTTCCACCCGCCGGGAATCGAACCTGGGCCCTCCGTGTGTGAAGTGGGAGCTTTAGCCACCAGGCCACCTTTCGATAGTTACAGGAACAGATCTGTGCTCATGGTGTCCCGTCTCACAAGGGCATATGAAAACCTCAGTTTTCATATGCCCTAGTTTGTATATAAAACTATAGTTATTCTCTATAAAATGTATTTTTTGTTAATATTTTTGGGTGTCTGGAACGGATTAATTGGATTTACATTATTTCTTATGGAAAATATTGCTTCAGTTTTTGTACAATTTGGGTTTTCGTCAGACTCTTTTGAATGGATTAATGACAAAAACCGAGGTTCCACTGTAATATGATCAGATTATTTTTAACACAATAGCCATCTCCTACCGAAACAGGGTGACCTAAAAAGAAGAAATATAAAGCTCTTCTTTTTACATTTAGTCATACTGGAGAATGGGTTACTAGCCCCTTGCACCCAGTATTTTAGTTGCCTCTTACAACATGCATGGCTTATGGGAGGGAAGATTCTTCTCCCCTTCCCCATGGAGATGGTCATCAATATAATTAAGACTGTCAATACTGTACGTAGTTGTAACACAATTCATTCCATTCTTTTACCACTATTTGTAAAGAAAATTTCTCCTGTATTTTTTTAGCTCCATTATTCTTAATTTATATCTGCAGTTTCTTATTACTGTATCTGTGTTGTAGTACTGCAAAAGAACTTAATTATTAATTTAAAAATGTAAGATTGTATCATTGATTGTACTACCTCATATTAATAATAAAGTGAAATACTGACTATTGTATTCTACCACTCTTCACCTGTTTAGACTTAAGTAGACTCTAAGTAGTATTTCTTTATGTGTGGACACCACACAGTTGTATTTTCCAGTTTTGGCTTAATATTCATTGTAAACTGCTTTTTCAGCATCTTTCCATTCATATTCTGTATTTGAAAGCTATTTTATAATTAGCCAATGCAATATTATTTCATTTCATTTAACATTGACTATGATATATGAAGCTGTAGTTCATTAATAAATTAAGAGCTCAGTCTGATGGTTTCTCAAAATTGGTACAGTAGTTTGGATGCCCACAATAATTACCATAGAATTTCTAGTTCCAGTTTTTTAAGATGCATTTATGTCTTAAGATCAAATGCTGTAATAGTCTGCAAAGTGTCTTTCAAGAAGATCCCAGAAGAGGATCAAATAGTCTCCTGAGTTTCTGTTTCCGTGTAGGTTATTACTGAGCATTGACCAGTGTTCATTACACTTTAGTTATATAAATTGAAAATAATACATATTTTCCAGAATGCGAGTGCCTCCTGGGAGTCCAGTGACCCTGAGCTGGGTGTATGTATTGAAAAGACATTGTTAATATGGGGACCTTGTTTTATCCTTTGGCTCTGTTCACCTATCTACATCATCACGCAGTCAAAGGAAAATCGAGTTGCTATTCCATGGTCAGGTTTATCATACTTTAAACTGGTGAGTACTTAATTAGTAGAGATTATAATTATAATCTTAATTTTTAAAGCGGTGGACCTGTAAGCCAGTGGAAGGCCTCGGTCTGATAACCAAAAGCTCGAGTGGCTGGTCATCACATGACTAAGACCTGTGCCAGGAAACATTTGTCTTGTTTCCTGATGAATCTTGCCTAACCTAACCTAAGATCTAGACAGTTATTGGTGATACTGGCATACATTTTTTTTTTTAACAAACCGGCCATATCCCACCAAAGCAGGGTGGCCCAAAAAGAAAAACGAAAGTTTTTATTTTTAAATTTAGTGATTTGTACAGGAGAAGGGGTTACTAGCCCCTTGCTCCCGGCGTTTTAGTCGCCTCTTACAACACTCATGGCTTACGGAGGAAGAATTCTGTTCCACTTTCCCATGGAGATAAGAGGAAATAAACAAGAAAAAGAACTAGAAAGACAATAGAAGAAAACCCAGAGGGGTGTGTATAAATAAACATGTACATGTATGTGTAGTGTTACCTAAGTGTAAGTAGAAGTAGCAAGACGTACCTGTAATCTTGCATAACTGGTATACATGTATCTTAATATTTTATTAGCATCAAGTATGCCTAGTTACAATACAGCATCTCCTTGATTGAGATCCATACAGTTAATCATTATTTACCCTTCATTGGAGGTTCCTTGATATTGAAGGGCTCTTGATCCAAGGAATTGGACCTAAAGTCCCCTTCCTTGGGTCATACTGGTTTACCTCCCATTTCGAAGGTATTGTACAACAATTGTAGATGTAGCACTTCCCATTAATAAACAACAATAATATTATTATTGGTAGTAATAACAATGCAGCATGCTTCTCTAATCCCAGCCTGATTTTATTATCCAACTTGTTTCTGTGCTATTTCACCAAGTGGCTCACAAATATAAAATACATATAAGTTGGAAGTGGATCTATAATTTCTTGTATAATCTTTGTCTTAGCTTACTAAGGAATAAATTCATAAATATTAACAGTAGGGAACAAGTTAAGGTGGATAGCCAACTTTTCTTTTTTTTTCATAAAACTGTAAAATAACTACTATATTGTAACTGTAGTACAAACTTTATTGATGGTTTTAAATTTATTTCAGGTGTTATCAGTATTTGTGACAAGCGCAGCTGTGGCCGAGTTGGTTATTACAGTGCTACAGTCATCTCAAGGACATGCTGTTTCACGCCAATGATTACACAGCTTCTTTTATTCTCATAATTACTTATGCAAGTATATGTTAAGTTCATTGTGTTATTTGCCTGGGAATATTATTGTTATTTTTTTCATAATGGTATTACAGGGTTAGACCAAGATTTCCTACGTTTATTTGTTTAATAGCCTTCTCCAACATCATCTTTATTAAAATTCTATATCTATTTATCTATTATTCTCTTTTTTTTTTTCTCTCTCTCTCTCTCTCTCTCTCTCTCTCTCTCCTCTCTCTCTCTCTTTTCTTTCTCTCTTACTCTCTCTCCCTAGTATTACATATAGTACAAACTTTTAAAGTATTTCACATTTTACATTATTTTCACATTATTTTACAGTAATTTTACATTATTTAAATTAGCACATGGCAGGTTAAACTTATTTTCAATTATGTACCTGTATTGGTTTCCCATAATAACAAAATTTCATACTTTTCAGATATTGCAGTCAGTTTTGTTATTACTAAGTCGTAAATATGGAGATCAAAGCAGTGGACTTCTCTGGGTCTTTTGGCTCCTCCAAGTTTTATGTGGTCTCTCACAACTGAAGTCAACAGTAATTAACGTTATTCATTCTGTAAGTTTAACAACATATACAAAGTATTGTAATTTACTGCCCTATATTTGAAAGTAAAGATTAAAGTATGTAGAACATTCCTTTATTTAAATGCTGCGAATTTGCAGTTATTAAAAGGACATTCCCTTTATTTCAATAATAATACAATATACAATAAATGTACAGTACTGTAATACAGTACCATAATAATTTTTATTCATTTTCTGGTATGTCTCCTGTCTCATGCAAAACAGTTAGATGCATACTAGACTATAGTTGTAATGTACTGTGTATTCTGATATAATGTTATACCATAATGTTTGTTAAACTCTAGAGTGATCATAATACTGCATAGCTTACTTAGTACTATGTGTGATGCTCTATAAGTACCTTTTGTTTACAGGATGGTCTGCTGGGTTCAAAAATAACATTCCTAGCCCAGTACAGTGGTGCTGTTGTATTATTAATTGCAAACAGCTTTGCTGATAATCCTGTTGATGCAGAATGGTTCAGAAAAGTAAGCTAAGTGCTGTTTAGAAGTTACATATTATTGTAAAATACTTTCCGTTATATATTCCTAATCACACATTATTGTAAAATACTTTTTATATATTCCTAATCACTGTTATAATACACATATGGTTATACTAATGTAATGAACACTGATCATTGTAGAACATGAATGCACATGGAGTCAAAGAAACACGACGAAATGGGTGCTGTGTATTTTGATTTACTTTAAGACTATCTCAGTCAGAGGCTGAATATCCTGCTTCAATTTTACTCTAATGTTTATACCTGCAGATCCCTAAGTACACATTGTGATGACATCAGTGCACTACTGCAGTCATTAAACACTACCTAACTCCTATTATTCTTACAGAAACATGGCTAAAACACAAGTATTTATTCAACATGTACTACAGAGTTTAGGAAATACATATTTACACATTTTGCAATCAGAATCTTAGATCTATCACAAGTAGAGCAATCTGCTGATAACCTCATATCAACAAATCAAGCTTTCTTGACTACCTTAGACTTAATATATAAAAATATACTAAACAGTTTGGAGGGATATGTTGTGTATCTCTATACGTATATGCTTCTAAACTGTTGTATTCTGAGCACCTCTGCAAAAGCAGTGATAATGTGTGAGTGTGGTGAAAGTGTTGAATGATGATGAAAGTATTTTCTTTTTGGGGATTTTCTTTCTTTTTTTTGGGTCACCCTGCCTCGGTGGGAGACGACCGACTTGTTGAAAAAAAAAAAAAAAAAAAATACTAAACAAACATCATTTAATAATACTGTAGCTAGAGACTTCAACATCAACCTCCTCCAGTTTGAAAACACACAAGTTGCTAGTTTCTTAAACATGTACAGTTGTTTGAGTCCATCAGTAACTAAACCTATGAATATTTTTTTTTTTTTTTAACAAGTCGGCCGTCTCCCACCGAGGCAGGGTGACCCAAAAAGAAAGAAAATCCCCAAAAAGAAAATACTTTCATCATCATTCAACAATTTCACCTCAATCACACATAATTACTGTTTTTGCAGAGGTGCTCAGAATACAACAGTTTAGAAGTATATACATAATGAGATTAGTCACGAGGGAGCATTCACCCAATTCAACTTCAATAACAAAAACATAAAGTGGGACCAAGTAAACCAAGTCCTAACTAATATAAGCTGGGAAGATAGACTAAGCAACACAGACCCCAACTTATGCCTAGAACAGATTAACTCGGTGGCACTCGATGTATGCACAAGGCTTATTCCTCTAAGAAAAAGGAGGAGTAGATGTAAAATAGAAAGAGGCAGGCGCTCCCTTTACAGGCGACGGAAAAGAATAACAGAGCGGCTAAAAGAGGCCAGTATATCTGAAATGCGTAGGGAGTCACTGGTCAGGAGAAATAGCAAAGCATCGAAACTTAAGCATTAAAGGAATCTTAAATAGAGAGTCAGGAATCGATGGGAAGAACTAAAAGCCATAAATGAAATCGAAAGAAAACCCCAAAATATTTCTTTTCCTATGCCAAATCAAAGTCGAGAACAACGTCCAGTATTGGGCCCCTACTTAAACAAAATGGGTCCTACACAGATGAGAGCAAGGAAATGAGTGAGCTACTCAAGTCCCAATATGACTCAGTTTTTAGCAAGCCGCTAACCAGACTGAGAGTCGAAGATCAAAATGAATTTTTTATGAGAGAGCCACAGAATTTGGTTAACACAAGCCTATCTGATGTTATCCTGACGCCAAATGACTTCGAACAGGCGATAAATGACATGCCAATGCACTCTGCCCCAGGGCCAGACTCATGGAACTCCGTGTTCATTAAGAACTGCAAGAAGCCCATATCACGAGCTTTTACCATCCTATGGAGAGGGAGCATGGACACAGGGGTCGTCCCACAGTTACTAAAAACAACAGACATAGCCCCACTCCACAAAGGGGGCAGTAAAGCAATAGCAAAAAACTACAGACCGATAGCACTAACATCTCATATCATAAAAATCTTTGAAAGGGTCCTAAGAAGCAAGATCGCCACCCATCTAGAAACCCATCAATTACACAACCCAGGGCAACATGGGTTTAGAACAGGTCGCTCCTGTCTGTCTCAACTATTGGATCACTACGACAAGGTCCTAAATGCACTAGAAGACAAAAAGAATGCAGATGTAATATATACAGACTTTGCAAAAGCCTTCGACAAGTGTGACCATGGCGTAATAGCGCACAAAATGTGTGCTAAAGGAATAACAGGAAAAGTTGGTCGATGGATCTATAATTTCCTCACAAACAGAACACAAAGAGTAGTAGTCAACAGAGTAAAGTCCGAGGCAGCTATGGTGAAAAGCTCTGTTCCACAAGGCACAGTACTCGCTCCCATCTTGTTCCTCATCCTCATATCTGACATAGACAAGGATGTCAGCCACAGTACCATGTCTTCCTTTGCAGATGACACCCGAATCTGCATGACAGTGTCTTCCATTGCAGACACTGCAAGGCTCCAGGCGGACATCAACCAAATCTTTCAGTGGGCTGCAGAAAACAATATGAAGTTCAACGATGAGAAATTTCAATTACTCAGATATGGTAAACACGAGGAAATTAAAACTTCATCAGAGTACAAAACAAATTCTGGCCACAAAATAGAGCGAAACACCAACGTCAAAGACCTGGGAGTGATCATGTCGGAGGATCTCGCCTTCAAGGACCATAACATTGTATCAATCGCATCTACTAGAAAAATGACAGGATGGATAATGAGAACCTTCAAAACTAGGGATGCCAAGCCCATAATGACACTCTTCAGGTCACTTGTTCTATCTAGGCTGGAATATTGCTGCACACTAATAGCACCTTTCAAGGCAGGTGAAATTGCTGACCTAGAAAATGTACAGAGAACCTTCACGGCGAGCATAACGGAGATAAAACACCTCAATTACTGGGAGCGCTTGAGGTTCCTGAAGGTTCCTGAACCTGTATTCCCTGGAATGCAGGCAGGAGAGATACGTGATTTTATACACCTGGAAAATCCTAGAGGGACTAGTACCGAACTTGCACACGAAAATCACTCGCTACGAAAGCAAAAGATTTGGCAGACGATCCAGCATCCCCCCAATGAAAAGCAGGGGTGTCACTAGCACGTTAAGAGACCATACAATAAGTGTCAGGGGCCCGAGACTGTTCAGCTGCCTCCCAGCATACATAAGGGGGATTACCAATAGACCCCTGGCAGTCTTCAAGCTGGCACTGGACAAGCACCTAAAGTCGGTACCTGACCAGCTGGGCTATGGCTCGTACGTTGGTTTGTGTGCAGCCAGCAGTAACAGCCTGGTTGATCAGGCTCTGATCCACCAGGAGGCCTGGTCACAGACCGGGCCGTGGGGGCGTTGACCCCCGGAACTCTCTCCAGGTAAACTCCAGGTATTTAAAGATACACAACATAACCCTCCAAACTGCCAATATCCCAAACCCCTCCTTTAAACTGCAGGCATTGTACTTCCCATTTCCAGGACTCTAGTCCAGCTATATAAAATAACTGGTTTCCCTGAATCCTTTCACTAAATATTACCCTGCTCACACTCCAACAGCTCATCAGGTCCCAAATATCATTCATCTCCATCTCCATTCACTCAGTACATAATATCTGGACAAACATACAGTATATCAACTCGTAAAAAAAAAAAGTATTATTATCAATAAAACAACAGCTCATTATCCCACCTTTCTAATTGCCAACATCTGGAAATTATTGTTAGTAGTCAACAAAATCACATTCACATTCATTGATGAGGCATCATTTAATATCTTTATTGTAGCAGTCAACAAGATTGAGTGACAGGGAGTCTTACAGTGATCAAGATGTTAATGTTCAGATATTACAGTCTGGAGTTTTGAGACTCTCTGACCGCTGGATCAAACCCCACCCGTGGTATGGTTTAATTTAAAAAAATATTAAAATCCTCAAACAGTTTATAACTACGGCACCAAGTAGCCTATAGCTAATTAACAGCATCATCAGATCCATTAACAAAGAGCATGGCTATGAAAGCACTATAGATTAAGTTTAATATCCAAAGAAGTAACAATGATATTTGACTCAGACAGAACTAATTAAGAGATGTGAAGAACTCTACTCTGCTAACAGATTTAATGAAACATGAGTTTTAAAAATAAACTGGGAAGCAATTGTATACAACACTGGGGGGGAAGGGGTGCCCTAGTATCGGTATTGGTGGGTATTGGCTACTTTTATGGTATCAGAATTGGCATAAGAGTATCACTATTGGTGGGCATCAGTCTATTTTGATGGTAATGGTATCAGCCTAAAATTGAGTATAGTATTGGTATTGGCATTGGCAACAATTACGAATTCAAGCAAAGTGACTGAAACAAAAGAAAAAGATACTAAATGAATCTAATGTAACTCCCATCCCAATCACAACAACAATAAGTAAACTAAATATTATAATTTCTTGACTATAGGATCAAATCTGTCCACAAAAATCCCAAGCCCATTTGGGATTTTCTTACATATTATTACTTGAGCCTTCTATGTCTGTCACTAACTACCTCAGAGGTAATCTTGATAATAAAAATCTCTTAAAATATGGTGGGAAATAAAGCTACTGTATCTTCATTCATGTACATGTATAAGGAAACTGCACATGTGCTATCACCAACTTTTTGGGGCTCCAGATCTGTCTTATCAGACTTGAGTCCTGCATGTGGAAGTGCAGAGTCTTCACTTTGAAGGAGAGATGTGAGGATGTTGCAATGTGGAGGGTCACTTAAATTGTAATGTCTGCACATTTCTGGCAAGATAACTGTTGAATAAATGGCCTTTTTGGGGGGAGGGGAAGGTACAAGATAGAGGGAGATGACCAACCCAGGTGGGAGATGGCCAAGGTGTTAAAACATAATCCTGCTATATACTTAAAATGTAACAAGATAATTGAAAGTCTCTTTCTGCAGAGGAAAGTTTATCCAGAGCAGTACTCATCATACTTAAACAAGATAACCTTTCACTGGACCAGTGGCCTTCTGAGGTTAGGTTGGAAACGATCCCTGACCTTTGATGACCTTTGGGAAATCCCTCCTCATTGTGCTACTAAAACTCTTGATGCTTTATGGAGAGCTGCATGGAGAAAGGAGATGTTGGTAGTCAGGTAAAACATCCATTTTATTAAAGTAAGTGAATGAACAAAAAATATAGGATATTAAGGCAATAATATGAAAAATTAATTCCTCATAATTTTTACCTGTGTAGACAGAAGACATCTAAATCCAAAGAATCTCTAGCTGATACTGAAGACAAGAAGCCACCATCTCTGCCAAAAGTGTCTGTGTTTGGGTCATTCTACGCACCATCTCCTGGCCATATGTTTTTTACAGTCTTATTCACGTTATCACGGAATTAGTTTTATTTTTTAGTCCACGAATTTTAAGGTAAGTTAATTCTTAGTACTGTACTGGGTATTTATTATAAAACAATAAAAATTGCATATTATATTAATTTATAAATATTTTTAAGATATATACAAGATTTTATTTCAACGGAATAATATTTTAAAAGGCTAATTACAAGTACATTATCCCACAACCTTTTGTATGTCAGTTTTTTCATGAAAATAAGGATTCAAGGAAACCAGTTAGCTAGACTTGAATCCTGGAGGTGGGAAATACAGTGCCTGCACTCTAAAGGAGGGGCTGGGATATCTGCTGTTTGGAGTGACATCTGAACTGTCAGATATATCAAAGTATTTTATCCACAGTGGTATATTACAAATCATTCTGGAAAAATACCTTGACTTTGCTCACTGTAAATAAAGCTAATATTTGCATTAATAATTAATTGCAGTTGTGATCAGGTGTAGACGTGTGAATGGTTCATTACCTTTGTAACTCATTCAGCTATCAAAACTTTGTACCCCAGTCCCTGGACCATTATGTATCTTTGTGATCTCTACCACCCACAGGATGGGTATGGGGTGCATAATAAAGATATTAAACTAACTAAACTCTGTGCACCTCTGGCAAGACAGGGATAGTGTGAATGATGGTGAAAATGTCTTCTTTTCTTTTTGGGTTACTATGCCTTGGTGGGAGACAGCCAGCGTATTGGAAAAAAAAGATAAAAAGTTACAGTATAAATAAATAATCCTAACTTTATACCCTATTAGACATAGCATAAATGTTGTAGATCATGAAGGGCAAGGACTGCTCTTAATTCTTGCTTTATTATTGGATCTTTTAATTTTCTATATATTCTTTTCTACAGCTTGTTGATCAGCTTCACAACCAATGAAAATGAGCCAGAGTGGCATGGATACTTTTATGCAGTCTTGTTGCTTATCATCAGTATTCTTGTAGCTGCTCTTAGAGCTATCTTTTTTAATAATATCTGGATAATCCATGTGAAAATAAGATCATCTTTAATGGCTGCTGTTTACCGCAAGGTAGGATGTTACTGTGTGCAATTTATTGGTATTAAATAATTTTAGTCTTTGTATAAGTCTATCCAAAATGCTGTACACTGAACTACTGTATTTGCTTTTCATTTAAAATATTACAGCTGTATTACTGTATAATAAATAGTTTTTGATATATTTGAAAATAAGATCATCTTTATTAGCTACTATTGACCACAAAGTAGGATGTTACTGTATGTAGTTTATTGGTATTCAATAATTTTAGCTTTTATATAAGCCCATCTAATATGCTCTACATAACTATTGTATTTGCTTTTCATATAAATAAAAATACAGTGGACCCCCGGTTCACGATATTAATCCGTTCCTGAGAGCTCATCGTAAACCAAAATTATCGGAAAGTGAATCAATATTCCCCATAAGAAATAATAGAAATCAAATTAATCCGTGCAAAACACCCAAAAGTATGAAAAAAAACTTTTACCACATGATATATTAAGTTTAATGCAATATAATAATTACAATAACAATAATAACAATAGAATAATCACAATAGAATAATTGACACTTACCTTTAATGAAGATCTGGTGATGATTGATGGGATGGGAGGAGGGGAGAGTGTCGAAGTTTTTAATATTTAGAAGGGGAATCCCCCTCCATTAGGACTTGAGGTAGTTACTTCCCTTCTTCTTTTAATGCCACTAGGACCAGCTTGAGAGTCACTGGACTTCTGTCGCACAACATATCTGTCCATAGAGGCCTGTACCTTTCGTTCCTTTGTGACTTTCCTAAAGTGGTTCACAACATTGTCAATGTACAGGTTGCCAACACGGCTTGCAGTAGCTGTGTCAGGGTGATTTTCATCAAAAAAGGTTTGCACTTCAAGCCACTTTGCACACATTTCCTTAATTTCAATAGTCATTAGCACCCTTGGTCTCGATGGGTTGGCACTAGAAGCTTTCTTGGGCTCATGGTGACTTATTTTGCAGAAACAAGCACCAAAAACAGTGATAATATGGAGAATATGGGATGTACCGAATATATCCTTAGATGCGCGCACACTGGCTGGCTTGTAAACACTGGACATGTCTCGTACGAATCGTATCGCATACCGGGTTTTGTAACGGGAACCGAGGCAAATTTTTTGCGATATAATGCTTCGGATACCGGATTTATCGGATACCGATGGCTTCGCGAACCGGGGGTCCACTGTATTATGGCTGTATTACTGGTACTGTATACTGTAAATATTGTAAAGTTGTTTTTGATGTATGTCTTTTTCATTTAAATACTATTTTACAATACATTACACAGTACCAGTAATATACTCATAATATTTTATTTTAAATGAAAAGCAAATACAGTCATATGCCACCCTTCTTCATTAATTGGTTCCAAGAGCTGTGCTGTAACCCAGTTTTTGACATAAACCAGACATAATGCCTTAAAAATGTCTTAAAATTACTACAAACCTTAAAATTAGCATAACTCGTGAAAGAATATAACTAGTATTGCTAAACCTTAAAGAACACTAAAAAGACATTTTAGTCATATTTTTTAAAGAAAAATGATCACAATTAAAAAAAATTGTGATGTGGGTGACGTTACTAAGTGACATAAAATCAGATGTAATGACATTTGCTGAACTGAAATTTACTCTAGAAGAGTGGCATAAAGGTGAATTTGACATAAGCTGAAATGACGTAAAGCGGGGTATGGCTGTACAGTTGGTTTTTAAAATATTACTCTTTTGAAGGAGACTGCTTATAGTTTGTGCTGATGCAATTTTATTTTTTCTGCCTAGTCTAGTTTTCACTGTCAGTGGAGGAATACCTACTATACTGTACTTCCTGTGAAAGGAAACACATTTTTTGACATTAAAATGCTTAGTGGATATGTTTCTGCATGAAAGGTATACTGTAGATAGACAATGTAAATTGATTATTTCTCTGTTGACAGGCATTAACGCTATCAGTCGCTGCAAGAAGAGAGTCAACTTTGGGCGAAATTGTCAACCTGATGGCTGTAGACTCTCAAAGATTAAGTGATTTTCCCATATTTTTCTGCATCGTTTGGTCAGGACCTTTGGTTATTCTAATTGCTCTATATGAGCTATGGAAGATACTCGGTAAGATAAATTTGTGTAAATATGTTGTATACATTATTAAAAGGTTTAGAATTAACATGTACATACGTATATTGAAAACTGAACTTAAAACTTATTATTAAATATGAAACTCTATCACCATTTCCTCTTAATTTTGTGGGCCACTTATTTTGCTTTGAAATATCCCATATATGTATACAGAACCTAATAATTTTGTTCTTACCTTCCTGTATTAGCAGCTCTTGGAGGATTTTTTATTTTATTGTGATTGTTAAATTCTGGCATTGTTAGTGAAGACCTTTAAGAATTTGTCTCCTTTTCATTTGCTTCTACTAAGCTTTGTGTCAAATTAATGTCTCATTTTCTGACATCATTCATATTCAGACTGAGATTATTTATTTCAGCATGATACAGGGTTCGTACAGAGATGGGTGACATTTAAGTATGCATACAGAAAGCCCCTTAATATGCAGAGCATTTCAGGCAAACTTAAGCCTATCTTAAGACTAATGAGACAATAACTAATTGATTTCTTATATATACATACAGTCTCTTAAGTGGTTATGAACAATAAGTTTAGGAATTACAAGGAACACAGGAGAACCGTTTAGCATATTAATACATTCTGTATAACAATATGATCTACAAACAAGCTATACCTGGGAAGCTGATAATCATTTATATCAGCATCAGTTGTTAACAACTGCTTGCATTGTTTCTTCATCAGTAACTTGTAGATAATTCAGTCTGATATTCTCTTCAGCAGAGGGACTCTTGTTTGAGGTCAAAATATACAAAACCCTTTCTATTCTGTGTTATATTTTGTGTTCTTGTGAGATTTACTTTTTTATTGATCAGTGTTTGACATTTGTATCAAAACACAGTAGTGTATGGAATAGGTAGCAAGTTACTAAATGCATACATGTGAATGGTATTTAGATAAAGGTAGGGAAGTTTTCATTGCATTTATGGATTTGGAAAAGGCATATGATAGTGGATAGGGGAGCAATGTGGCAGATGTTGCAGGTATATAGAATAGGTAGTAAGTTACTAAATGCTGTAAAGAGTTTTTATGAGGATAGTGAGGCTCAGGTTAGGGTGTGTAGAAGAGAGGGAGACTACTTCTCGGTAAAAGTAGGTCTTACCTGGAGTTTACCTGGAGAGGGTTTAGGGGATCAACGTCCCCATGGCCCGGTCTGAGACCAGGCCTCATAGTGGATCAGGGTCTGATCAACCAGGCTGTTACTGCTGGCCGTGTGCAAGCTGACGTATGAACCACAGCGCGGTTGGTCAGGTACTGACTTTAGGTGCCTGTCCAGTGCCTTCTTGAAGACAGCCAGAGGTCTATTGGTAATCCCCCTTATGTATGCTGGGAGGCAATTGAACAGTCTTGGGCTCCAGACACTTATTGTGTTGTCTCTCAGTGTACTCGTGGCACCCCTGCTTTTCAATGGGGAAATGTTGCATCTCCTACCGAGTCTTTTGCTTTCATATGGAGTGATTTTCGTGTGCAAGTTGGTACCAATCCCTCCAGGACCTTCCAAGTGTATATTATCATGTATCTCTCTCGCCTGAGTTCGAGAGAATACAGATTAAGAACCTTCAACCGTTCTCAGTAGTTTAAGTGCCCTATCGCACTTACGTGTGCTGTGAAAGTTCTTTGTACACTCTCCAGGTCTGCAATGTCGCCACCGTTGAAGGTCTTAGACAGGGATGTGTAATGTCACCATGGTTGTTTAATATATTTATAGATGGGGTTGTAAAAGAAGTAACATGCGTAAGCATGTTAGATAGGAGTTAATGGAGATGAATGGTTTTGGGGACCTGACAAGCTGTTGGAGTGTGAGCTAGGTAATATTTTGTAAAGTGATTCAGGGAAACCAATTAGCTGGACTTGAGTCCTGGAAATGGGAAGTACAATGCCTATACTTTAAAGGAGGGGTTTAGGACATTGGCAGTTTGGAGAGACATCTAAACTGTCGTATCTGAGCATCTCTGCAAAGAAGTGATTATGTATGAGTGATGGTAAAAATGTTGAATGATGATGAAAGTTTTTTCTTTCTTTTTGCATCACCCTGCCTTGGTGGGAGACAGTTGACATGTTGAAAAAAAAATTAATAATGTATGTTTCGTAATAGTTTTATTAATAGTAATTAATAATGTATGTTTCTTAAGGACGTTATTAATAGTAATTAACAATATATGTTTCTTAAAGGACCATCAGTGCTTTCTGGCCTCGCTGTCTTGATACTCCTGACCCCCATCAATGGTGTCATTGCCAACAAGTTAAAGGTTCTTCAGAGCTCTCAGATGAATTTCAAGGATAAAAGAATAAAGTTGCTAAATGAAATCATTAGTGGAATAAAAGTAAATTATTTGTCTCTTGTTTTGGTACATATTCTCTGTTTCATAATGAAAATAATTGTTTGTGGTTTTTTATAAATTTACAATGATTCTTTTTCAAAAGGATGTCATTATACAGTGGAACCTCAAATATCGAACTTTCTTCAGTCCAGAAGGCTGTTTGAGTGCCTTTACCGAATGAATTTATTCCCATCAGGAATAATGTAAATTAGATTAATCCATTTCAGACCCTCAAAAATACACTCATAAAAGCACTTACAAAAATACACTTACATAATTGGTTGTGTTGGGAGCAGTTCGATTTTTGAGGTTCCACTGTACTCTTATTTTAAGAAAGTAAAGCAATGAAGCTCCTAATTTTGTATATCATGCAGGTATTGAAATTGTATGCCTGGGAGAGCTCTTTCAACAGTGAAGTAGAATCTGTGAGGGAGGATGAGATTAATGTTCTCAGAAAGTCTGCATACATCCAGTCCTTTCTTATTTTCCTGTGGCTTACCACTCCATACATGGCAAGTAGATTATGTTGATTTATTATTTTTTTCAATGAGCTGGCCATCTCCCACCAAGGCAGGATGGCCTAAAATGAAAAACAAAAGGTTTTCTTTTTACATGTGGTAATTTATACAGAAGGGGTTACTAGCCCCTTGCTCCATACATTGTAGTTGCCTCTTATGACACACATGGCTTATGGAGTTATATATTGTATAAGATGCATGCTACTGTGGTATATTTGATGGGAATACATGATGCCTGGTGGCTAAAGCTCCCGCTTCACACACGGAGGGCCCGGGTTCGTTTCCCGGCGGGTGGAAACATTTCGACGTATTTCCTTACGTCTGTTGTCCTGTTCACCTAGCAGCAAATAGGTACCTGGGTGTTAGTCAACTGGTGTGGGTTGCATCCTGGGGGACAAGATTAAGGACCCCAATGGAAATAAGTTACAGTCCTCGATGATGCACTGACTTTCTTGGGTTATCCTGGGTAGCTAACCCTCTGGGGTTAAAAATCCAAAGGAAATCTTATATATCTTAACTGTAACTACATCTGGAATTATAATACAAGAGAAAGACATGTGATCTTAATCTTCATATATTCTTATCACATTAACCTTGAGCTTATATATTTTAGGTACAAATTCATAAGGGACTTTTTCTATTTGCCCATTTTCAGTAATTTAATTCAGTCTCTTGGGATGAAAAGACACAAAAAGTAAGCTTTTATTATAACAGTGTTTTGTTTCAAGGGTAAACTCTATCAAGTTATGCAGAAGGTATGTAAACTACTTACATAAGTCCATTCAGTCATGTAAAGTGAGGACCTGAGTTATGTGACTTCTGTTGCTGCATGGGTGAGGTCACATGCTAAAAGGTAATGTAGAAAAATTTGGGCAGATGATTTTGCCAGCCATATGAGAAGTCAATAAGTTTAAGGATAATGATAACTTTTCCCCTCATAATTTATATAAAGCTGGAAGACTGAACCGAGATGAATCTCACTAGCAGATCAGTTCAGTGGGGAATTTTATTTAATTTATGTTTAGCAAAAGATTTGGTAATAGGTAATACAATCTATTTGAAAAGAGAAAGATAAGTACAGTGGTACCCTGAGTTTTGTACAGCTCCCAACTTGAACAATTATGTAAGTGTATTATTGTAAGTGCTTTTGTAAGTGTATTAATTCGGTAACGGCACCTGAACGGTCTTCTGGAATGAATTATAGCCGAAACTCGGGGTACCACTGTATATGAACTACAGATAAATGAGCAACAAGAACAGTTTTCTGAACTCCTGATGGATAAAAAGCTGAAAGGTAGGCTGCAGGAAGAGCAGTGACTGATATGTCAATTCTAATGGTAGCTAGAGGTAGAGTCACAAAGGAAATGTCTGTGCGTAAGAAGGAAGTGAAATTGAATTACCTTCACTAACTGTCCATTGTTGAGTTATGTACAACTGTGAAGTGTAAAGAAAATATCTCTGAATTCAGCAAAACCAGTTAGCTGGATTTGAGCTCTTGTTGAAGGAAATACAGAACCTGCACTCTGAAGAATAGATGGGGATGTTATGGCCCTGTGGATCATTTAAAATGTGAAATTCATGTGCATCTTGAAATAGCTAGGGAATAAGTAATGGTTTAGATGTTTTCCTTCTTTCAGTTACCTAGATGTTTTTGGAAGTATTTGTAACTGTGAGTATGTTTGAGTTGAGTCACTATTGAATTTGTGTGGCCTTGAGAAATTGGCCTAGTTATACTGAATAAATTTCTAACCTAGAAAATAGCTTGCTTGCAGTCCTGTAATATTGATATGCTTTGATCTATTTCTTTCCATTTGTGCAATATTTTATATTTATGATAAATACTACTAGCAATTAACACACATTCTGAATGTGAAACTACTGTACTGTGAAGGAAATATTGTCTTTGTTGTGAGTGTGAGAGAAAAGGGAAGAAAATCAAAAGTCATATCAGGAGAAGTGAGCTCAGGAGATAGCCAGTGTGAAGTCAAGTCACATGTGTTCTGAGTTGAGTTCAAGCTTTTTCTTGAAATGCTTGACTTTCCTAGTACACTGTCAGTGCTTCAATCTTCAGGACACACTTGACTCAGCCACTTGTTTCTTAACCTCTCTTTACCTAACTTCTGTTTTTTCTTTCATTTCTCTCTTACTCACAGCTTAATAATGGACTAGAACTGACCAGAAAAAATAAAATCTAAGTTTAATTTCCATTTTGTGAGTATTGTCTCTTATTCTTTGATTAATACAACATACTAGTTGATATTTTTTATTTTTATTTTTTAAACAAGTCGGCCATCTCCCACCAAGGCAGGGTGACCCAAAAAAGAAAGAAAATCCCCAAAAAGAAAATACTTTCATCATCATTCAACACTTTCACTTCATTCACACATAATCACTGTTTTTGCAGAGGTGCTCAGAACACAACAGTTTAGAAGCATATACATACAAAGATACACAACATATCCCTCCAAACTGCTAATATCCCGAACCCCTCCTTTAGAGTGCAGGCATTGTACTTCCCATTTCCAGGACTCGAGTCCGGCTATATAAAAATAACCGGTTTTCCTGAATCCCTTCACTAAATATTACCATGCTCACACTCCAACAGATCGTCAGGTCCCAAATACCATTTGTCTCCATTCACTCTTATCAAACACACTCATGCACGCCTGCTGCTTTAGTAAAAAAATTTTAATATTGCATCCTGTTTCCACCACTTCTTCAGTATATGTAAGTGTGTTCTTGCAGACTATACATTATTATTCCTAGTGGTAGCTAAAAGCTGCCTAAACTCTAATTATTTGTAACATGAGGAGTGCATTGCCAAGGAATCATTGGACATGACAGCTAAGCAGAGAAAAATAATCTTTCACAAATTTAAGAGGTGCTTATTAAATAAAAAAGTATATCACTACTCCTATTATATTTTTAAATTCTTGTAAGAATGCAAACAAATGAAACTTTATTTCTTTCTGCAGTTTATAAAATGTAGTTTACATGTAATAAAATATTGTTAAGCACAAAACAAAGCCGTATGCAGTGCATTTTGAGTAGGTACATTACTGTACCATTATCTACCCTGTAAATAAAAACTCGTGTTAATTTACATATACATGTTAGCCAAGGATTCGAACTCATGTTGTACTGGTCTGCCTCATGGTAAGCGAGAACCACATGGCACTTTAAATCACAGGACCACCCAACCCTACAAGAATGGCGCAGCCAGCAGAGCTAGCTGTGGGCCGCCATCCGAGGGCATACAGAGGTGTGGGAGCTTCTAAGCTAATTTCATTCTCATCCCTGTTTTGTGTACTAGCCTCACCATGAGGCAGGCCAGTACAACATGGGTTCAAATCCTTGGCTAGCGCAGTGTTGTTATTGATCAATACCACTCGTCCGTGGTTACAATAACATGTACATGTATAGAGTATTTAAAAAGTGACCCAATGTGATATTTATACATTATAAAAAAACCTACCATTTTTTGTACAAAATTCAGTGGTTTTTTCTCTCTTCAGGTAGACTTTTCTCATTTCCCACATTTTGTGGTGTAGGGGAAAAACATCTGGACTTTAAAATACAGCATTTGTCTCAATTGCATCTTAATTTTTATGCGTTTCCCCAATTAACAGATACCAAACTTTGTACAGGCTTTTCAGGTAAGCGGGCAAGTTCTGTGCTATTTGTGTGTGAGCAAGAAACATTTTGAAGGGGATTTGGGAAATGGTTTTTAGGCACTTGAGTTCTGGAGGTATAAGGGCAGTGCCTGCACTCTGAAGAAAAGGATGGGGAATTTTTACAGTCAGTAGGTAACTAAATTTGTTGTGGATAGGGAACAAACTCCAAGTACGTACAGTTATGGGCTAAAACGTTGTGTATTTTAAAAATAGGTTAGATAAATACTGAGTGGGGGGAGGTGGGGGTGAGTTGGGCCCGACTGCTTGGCACTAGGTCAGTGCCATGCTCCTTCCTTTAAATGATATGACCCGATTGACTAGGTTAGGGCATTGGCTTAAGCCGGTAGGAGACTTGGACCTGCCTCACATGGGCCAGTAGGCCTGCTGCAGTGTTCCTTTTTTCTTATGTTCTTACATAAATTAACATTATAATTATAAAAATTTTATGGTTCAAATTAGGTTTTGTACAGGGCTTATCAGCAACAAACAAACAAACAAAGTTTATTTCTTTGCAAGGTTACATTGAGATTATGAAATTACAATAATGGGGTACAGTGCAAAGAGAGCCACTATCATGCCTAGGCATTATGGGCAGACTTAATTTAATGGCTTACATACTACTTAATACTAAAGAAATTGATCATAGTTTGTTTAAGTTATACATCTTCTTTGTTTATAGCAGACAGTAGTTTTACTCTAATTACAGTAGTTTCAATAATGAATATTGAAATAAATTATGGGAATATAACGTTGTGAGTTATGAGAGGTATGAGAATGTTACATTTGGGTGTAAGACAGTACTGTTTTGGGTAGGTATTTATAGTACAAAGTAGGATTAATAAGGTATGAACATTGGGCGTCTAGATTCGAAGTTTTAAAATTTGGATAATTTTTTGGTAGAGTTAAATATTGAGTATTGTGTATTTAGTTTAGGGTGAGTAGGTGGTTTTTGAGAAGAGCCTTAAACTTGCTGTTCAGACCTGTTCAGAACCATTGTGTTTAAAGCAATATTTTAAGATATGTGGCCTAGAAACATTTAAATAATTTGAGCATGCAGAATTTCCTATTATCCAGTTTTCAAATTTGCATAATCTACAGGAACCAAACCCTTGCAAATTATGGGGTTCACTTATATTGTAAATGAGCCATCCTACTTTGATTAAGGTGGCACCTTCTCCTACTGGCTAATGTTGTTGATAACTAAATATATCTCTGATACCCTATTGCCTTCAGGAACTTTGCCTCCCTGAGTTGATTAACATTTGTAAAATTTTCGCCATTTAAATATTTTCCTTATGGCTGTGACAGATATGTTGCTAA